TAATGCAGTCGTCCCCAGGCGCTTGCTTTAAAAAAAAAAAAGGAGAGAGGAAGGAGTGCGAGAAGGCCAATCTCTACTCCGACCCTTAACCCCTGCTTGCAACAGGCTCCTACCCCAGGAGCACTCTTGTCCTCCTCACCCTGCCCTGGGCAACTGGTCGGCAACACATCTACTTTTATCCCTAGACAAGGCGGCCCTCGGCCAGCTGGGTCCTTGAGCAAAGTCATCCGCCTCGCCGTTGGGTGGAACCGAATCTGGCTCCCCCCAGGACAGGCCGCTGTTTGGGAACTCGCTACGTCCAGGCAATTGGTTCCCCGGGGCCTTCCTGATCCTAGCAGAGGGGCCCCTCCTTCTCTCCCGGGTCATGGAGGTAGTCCATTGCCGTGTTCCCCCGGTCTCTAGTTTTAGGGCTCCTCTGCGCCTCCCCTCCACCTCTCTGTCCTAGGGTTCTCCCAGGGGAATTCCCAACACGGGTCGATCTTCCCAGTCTCTTGAATCACGGTTCCAGTACACATCTGTTGGCCTCCTTGGCGGGACTGCCTTCTGGACAGCTCCGCCTCCTCTTTAGGCCCCCTTGTTGAGACATTCCAATCTCCAGGGGGTTCTCCTGTTGGGCATGCCTTCCAGCGGGTCATCAGGGTTCCAGGAGAGATTCTATACCAGACGGGGGCCCACCCGCAGGACTAGCCAAGCTTTGGTATGTCCCAACCTGGACGCTCGAGACAGCTCTATGGAAAAGGGGCGTTGGTTCTTACCTGATACGCTTCTTTTCATGGAGCTGTCGAGAGCGTCCAGCCCCACCCGTAGGCCGTCTGGTGGGAAACCTTGCTGTTCGACCGAGCAATCTAATATATTTTTTTCCTGAGTGTGATGAGAACAGGACCTTCCTTCTCGTCTGCGCAAAAACCTGGGGAGCGCCCGAGGACCACGTGATGGTGAGGGGCGTTCCTCAATTTCAAGCTCAGCCTGTGAGAGCCGAGACTGGAGCTCCTCCCAACCTGGACGCTCTTGACAGCTCCATGAAAAGAAGCGTATCAGGTAAGAACCAACGCCCCTTCTATTCATGCTTTCTGGTCTTTTTTCAATCTCCATGGCTTCTCGGATGATTCTGTGGCTGGGGTTTTCTATAGTGGCTAGAGTTTTGGTGCCATTGAAGTTGATGCTATGACCTGTGGCTTCCATGTGTTGGACTAGTGAGGAAGTGTGTTCCAGCTTTTTGACTGCATTTTCGTGTTCATCCAGGCGGGTACTTATTCTTCTATTGGTCTGTCCAATGTATGTGGCTGGGCATGATGCACAGGGGACTTTGTATATGCCTTGGTTTTCCAGGTCAATTTTATCTTTGGGGTTTCTAAGGATGGCTGCTATTTTTCTGTCTGTTTTGAAGGCAGTCTTGATGTGATGCCTGTGTAGTATCTTACTGATTTTGTCTGTAGTACCTCTTATGTAGGGCAGGACAGCTGTTCCATAGGTCTGTTCATCTTCTGGGTCTCTATTATGTCTCAGTGTGTTTTTGTGGATCAAGCCGGTGATTTTGCTTTTGTGGAAGCCGTTGGCTGTCAGTACCTTAGTCAGGGTGCATAGTTCAGTCTTAATGTGTGTCTTGTCTGCCAGGCGTTTGGTTCTAGTAATTAGTGTTTTAGCCACGGAGTTTATCTGTGCTGGGTGGTGGTGGGATTGGGCGTTGAGGTAGCAGTTAGTGTGTGTTTTCTTCTGGTATACGTTGTGTCCTAGTGTGCCATCTGTTTTTTTGTAGATTAGTACATTTAGGAATGGTAGTTGTTTGTTTGTTTCTGTTTCCATGGTGAACTTGATTTTGGGGTGTGTGCTGTTTAGGTGTGTTAGGAAATTGTTTAGGTTTTCTTTTCCATGGGGCCAAATCACAAAAGTGTCATCGATGTATCTTAACCATAGTTTGGGTTTGTGGATGGCATTGGCCAGGGCTCTGGATTCGAATTCTTCCATGAACAGGTTTGCAATGACGGGTGACAGTGGTGATCCCATAGGGGCTCCTTCGATTTGTTTGTATCTTTGTCCTTTGTATATGAAATATGTGTTGGTTAAGCAGTGTTCTGTTAGTTCCATGAGGTGTTTGGCTGGTTGGTATTTATTTTTTGATGATTTCAAGGGTCTCTTTTATCGGGACTTGAGTGAATAGTGAAACCACGTTGAAACTTACAAGCAGATCTTCTTGCTCCACATGTAGATCTTTGATCATTTCCAAAAGTGGTATGAGTTTTGTACATGTGAAGCTGCTGTTTCAGCATGGGGCTGTAGCTGTTTGGCTAAGTATTTGGCTAGGTTTTGTAGTGGTGCTCCTCTGGAGCTGACTATGGGTCTGAGAGGTATGCCTTCTTTGTGTATTTTTGGGAGGCCGTATAGTTTGGGGCATCTGGAAGATTTTTCTCTTGGGATGATTGTCTGTTGGATCTCTTTGCTCATGTGGCTGGTTATAATTTTCTTCTTGGTTAATTTTTCCAGGTATGTGGTTGGGTCTGTGTTTATGGGTTTGTATGTGGAGTCTTGGAGTAGGTCTGTCAATTTTGTTTCATAGTCTTTTCTGTCCATTACTACTGTGGCATTCCCTTTGTCTGCTGGGAGTATGATTATGCTGTTATCTCTTTTCAGGGTTTGTAGTGCTTTAATTTCTTCTTTCTGCAAGTTGCTTTTGGGTGGCTTGCTTGTGCATAGGTTGTTGGTAACTTGGTGTCTTATTTTATCAGCTTCATCTGTATTTAATTTGGTTAGGCTGGATTCTACTGCACATATGATGGATTCTGTGGGGATTTTTTGGGGTGCTATAGCATAATTGAATCCTTTGGTTAGGACATCTGTTTCTGTTTTGGTGAGTTCTCTGTTGGAGATATTGTATACTAATTGCTTCAGGTGTTATTGTGAGTTGTTGGGGGTTTTCTTGTCCTGTTCTAATTTCTTTAATTTTTTCAA